GAAACATGGAGAGATGCTTATGATGAAGAAAATAATACAAAATGGAATGTAAATTAAGACTGCACATGAAAAATGCATATAGAAATAAATGGTTGTCAGGATGGTAAGATTAAGGAATCTTTTCTACTTATTTTCAAATTTCAAAATATACTGCTACATTTAACTCTATAACTTGAATAAAAAGGAAGAACACGGCTCCTTAAGTATCCTGTTTTCATGCCATTCTGGCCTCAGTGAATGGAGAAGGCTCTGAGCGGAGCGGCTCCGCGGCCTCATTTGCCCTCCCGTCTGCCAGCTGCAGGGTCTCCATCTCTGCCTCATGGTGGAAAGACAGCCGCAGAGCACAGTACAGATTAAAATCAAGTATCTGCTAGACGAGAGATATTTTAAAGAAGAAACCCATAAACATGGGCAGTTCGGCACTAAAGAGGGGGATATATGTGAAATTTCGGGGAGTAAATCCACACGATGTTGCCAGCTTCATGAAGTAGAGGACGGAGTTCATTCAATTCTCCTGCTGTTGAAGAGGAGAGAAGGGAACAAGTGAGATCAAGCATCGGTAAGTGCCAGGGCTCTAGGCAGTCGGGGGATGGGTGGTGGTGCTAAGAGTCTCTTACAGACAGACGAAGAAAGGAGGGCAAGGTGGGTGGGGCGGGCAATGGAGGGGAGAAAAGTGAGAAGCTAGAGCCTTGCAAGAGAGCTGGTGTCGCTGACTCTGTGTGAAGTTGTGCATGGTCACACTGACAGATGTTGGGGAGAAAAAGTGGAGACAGGAAGCTCAACTAGAAGATTGTTGAAATCTTTAAAGAGGGAAAAGATGAGGGTGTGACTTGAGGTCTGAGTGGTGAAGACAAAGAGGAGATGAACTTGAAAGGTATGAGGAGGGAGAATCAACAGGACTCAATAGCCAATCAGAAGAAAAGTCAAGGTCGACAGCCGGGATGATGGCTGGGCATCTGTGTGTAGAAGTGAGACCCCCGTTGCCAGACAAGTCTCCAGAAACTAACAAGGCCTTGGAATTAGTTTATATTTTAGATTTTCAACCATCTCTTTCCCATTGCAACCCCATGGGGATCCACGATTATTTACATTTTATGTTTACATAAACTAAGCTCTGCCATTACATAATCAGAGGGGGGAAAAAATCCCACAATCACTGCCTGGCTCTTTTAGGTATGACCTTTTGTAAATCGCCAGAGCGAAGTTTGCAGTCAAACCCAGGGGCATTTATGAATAAATACTGACCCCCAGTGTTTAGGTGCAGAAATAAAGATTATAAAACACCAGGCCTCCAGGGAGAGGACGTGGAATTCCAGCTACAAAGAATATTCCACTTCAGTTCAGAACCCTGGGTTGCTTCCGTAATAAAAATACTGACTAGCTAATTGTTGGCTGCTGGCTGCCTGCACGCCTCTAACAAATGCTCTATGGAATGTGTCAGTGTGGATTAAGTGGCCTCGGTCATGGGTGCATGGCTATGTGATGGCCTTTGTCCTCCCTGCTCCGAGGTCCAAGTTCAACTCCTCCAAAAAGCTGGAGTACCGGCAGATTTATTGCAATAAATTTGACTAATACGGACTCTGGCTCTGACCTCACCTAAGTCAACATTGCATCCCATAACTACCCTCTCCAGCGGATTCAGAGCAGCGTGGTTGGCACATAGTCCCCTTTCAACAGCTGTGTGGCTGGATCAAATTCACGAGAAATTCTTAAGTAAACTCTCGGCAGCAAAATAACTCCTTCAGCTGGAGCTGCTTCCTCGTGAGAACGTAACCATCTCACGTGTTGGCCAATGGTTGCTGCAGTCGCCGTCAGGTGGCATCTGTTTTCCACAGGCCAGAAACTAGCTGCGTGGAGACATGCTCCTGTCACATTCGGGGCTGTGCTGAAGTTTTGAGAAAGCTTAGCTTTGCAGAGAAGTCAATGAACAGGTCGAGCAATCAAGCTGTCTTGGAAAGGTAGAGTGTCCTTCGCAAAAACGGGATCTTCTCCATGAACCTTGTTTTTAAAATGAGAAGAGACTTCAGTGGCCAACCACAACATCAAAGGCAAATCTTCAATGCCAACAGAATTCATTTGACTTGTTTTCGGCAATGAGAGGCTTTCCCTTCGGGCCATTAACCCTTAGCGTTCTTAGTAGAAGGCTGCAGGGAGGAGCAGTAGGAAACAGGGACTCAGACTGGGCTACGACATGGGGCAGAGTGACACAGGGGACTCTTGTGAGGTGGTTGCTACAGCGACCTGAAATTCAAGGAAACAGAGGCCCAAAGATGAAGTAGTTTAGCAGCCAAATGGTGGCATGAAGAAGTGTCTGGCACTGTTTGTTCCAGTACAAGCCAATGGCGATCCTAATCCTGTGTATGATTTGTTGTATCAGCAAACGAGCTAATTGTTGTGTTGGCCTGATGCATAACTACAGCCCCAAACATAACAGAAATAAAATCAGTGCATGCCTTGCCTCTCGACAGTATAGTGCAGACTTAAAGTTTCCATCTTACCTACCAAGGACTGAGATTTCAGGAAAAATAACAAGCGCGGAAACCACTCACCTTCATTCACACGCTGCATAAAAGTTTTAGTGACTGTACTCAATGCAAGCTTATTTTAGTCCATGTTTAGTTTCTGTCATTATCGTTTCTGATTGTATTTTGAAAAAATGTCAAACCTACAGAAAAGCCAGAATAGTACAACAATCCATTATAAACACTTTCCTCAATTCATCAGTTAGAACATTCACTGTATTTGCTGTCTCTATATAGAGAAATTGTGTTGGCTAAACCATCTGAATGCGAGTTGCAGACATCATTCCTCACCCTTAAATTCTTCAGCACCCAAAGGACCTCCATAACTTTTCATTGTAACATGTAATTGAGGCACAAATATTGAAGCCCTAATCCCCAGTGTGATGGAATTCAGAGGTAGGGCTGTTGGGAGATAATTATGCTTGGATGAGGTCAATGAGGTTGGCTCCCCCATGATGAGATTAGTGCTCTTGTAAGAGAAAGAACCCAGAGTGCCCTCTTTCTCCTCCATCTGAAGTCACAGCAAAAAGAGTCCATCTGAGAACCAGGAGGAGGGCCCTCATCAGACACCAAATCTGCCAGCACCTTGATCTTGGACTTGCCAGTCTCCAGAACCATGAGAAATACATGTTTGTTGTATTGAGTCACCTCGTCTGTGGTATCTGGTTATAGCAGCCTGAGCAGATTAAGACAAATGTTCTATAATCCATTTAATCTCAAATTTTCCCAAATTTGGTACCTGAAGACAATTTTTGTGTCTCATTGTTGGGCTTTGGGCATTTGCTTCTTTCCTGACTCAAGATGTTTCGAGCTCACCTTTTACTTTATCTGCACCAAACCTGGAACCAACCAACAGCTCTGGTCATGTGACACGGTATTGAGAAAGCAAGGTCAAGGGAGCTCGGTGTGCTCTCTATTACTAGGTATTGCTTCTAGGACTTTCCAGAGGACAGAGCCAGGTCTGGGAGTGGGGCAAGAAGGGGTGAGACTGGCAAGAAAGAGGAAAATACATGCGCCTACACATGCACTCACACAAGTGTCTCCAGTTCAAACCAGTAAAACAGGGTCCTTCTTTAACTTCCCAATCACCCCACATTATCCTGCATAAGTCATACATAACAGACCAACAGCAACCAGAGATAACAGACTCTACACAAGTCAGATCCAAACTGGAAAACTTAGTTAAGGGCTTACATGTGGTTTCTCTAGAGCACCAAACAGGGCAAAGATCAGAGCAGGTGACCAATGGCTTCCATTTTAACTTATTGAAGACTATGTTATTTCTTTTCAAAATCTATCCTGTTTGATGTTGGGTATGTGTCTCAAAATGATCCAGTCAGTTGGGGGAAGAGTGCGAGGAGGGAGCTTACCCTTAAAATATTGTCAAAGGAAATTATAATACATTATTTTCTGGCAACGTAGGGCCCCAGTGTCTTAAAGACTAAACTATAATAAAACTTTACCAGTTATGGAAACAGTGAGTTTAATCCTGCCTATCATTTTGCCAGATATTTTGTCATTAGAAGGAGACTGAATAATGAAAGGATTCTTATATTTTGGAGGTTTCCTATTCCCCTTGGGATCAGTGGTTTAAATTCCCCTCATAGTCCAACGTGAAAGCCTTAGGCTTCAGCATAGCCTGGCATCTGCCACAGCCGATCTGCCGCGAGGCCAGGCCTGGTTTAATACAATCAGTGGTGTTATAAAAGTGAGCCAAAAACTTGCAAAATACAATAGTGCAAAACACAAAAAACAGGAAGCAGGATCAAGATGTGCAACAATTTAGGTGTACTTCAGAGGGAAAGACCTTTGAAAGGGTTTCTAGGTTAAGAGAGAAGTTGAACTTGGAAAAGAATCTTATCCCCTGTGAAAGGCTAAGAATGAAATAATAGTGGCCCGGGGGGCGATGAAACTTGTCTGGTTAAGCTGTTTCCCCTGCCCCATTTTGTTAAACACAGTTAGGAACTGGGAAAATAAAGAACTGTACACACAATGGGAAGTGGGGGAAGGTCGGTGCATGCGTGACCCCCGACTTCTCTCTTTCCTGGGGGTGTGGCAATGTGACCAGGATTTTTGCTTTGGCCACCAAGTTGGTCAACTGTTGTCCAATGGGTATTGACTTTTACAGGTTCGCACACTGACCAAAAAGGCATTTCACCCCCCAAAGCTATGGGGCACAGAGAAGCTTCCCAGGCTGGAAGACAGCCATTGCCACTGATGTGCGTGTGTAATAACTTCATGGCCATAATCCAAGATCAGAGATAATCTGCAAAGGAATCTGGTTGAGCTTGGCAATAGCTAGATTACATTTAAAACAATCTTCCTTGCACATCTTTTTAAAGATATTTTTTATTGTTATTCAATTCATTATCTCCCCTTTTCCCCCATTACTCTCCCCTGCCCTGCCCAGCCCATGCCCCACATTCAACCCCCCGACCCCAGTTGTTCTCCTCCATGGGTCCTTTATACATGTTCCTGGACTTGACCTTTCCCCTACTTTCCCCGTTATCCCTTCCTCTCTCCCCTCTGGTCACTGTCAGTTTGTTCTTTATTTCCACGTCTCTGGTTCTATTTTGCTTGCACATCTTAGTAAGGAAAAACATGTGACGTAATGCATTCTAACCAAGAATGCATTAATTCAGTTAATGCATTCTCTGTTAATTCAGTGCTCAAGGTGAAGAACCTCCATTTTCTATAGCAGAACTTCTGCTCTTGTAGAAATATTCTCAGTGTACTGAAACTCTAGGAGTAGCATCTAGCTACTGCCCTTACCTCCCCACACTGGGACCATCATTTCCACCTGTACAGAGGAGACATGAATTGCTGGCTTCAGGGCAAACCCGACCTGGCAACACGAGGGACTGCCCTCTCCAAGGACCAGATTTCTACACAAGCTGTCTACCATTTATTTAAAATAAAATTGGAAATCCCTATTTTCTTGTTGGTCCCGGCTTGACATAGAACCGAAGGACGCCAAATTAGGATGCAGGTTAGGTGGCCTTCAAGATTCCTACATCAAAACTCATGAGTACCTTGTAAACTATGCAAAGAAAACAGGTTCACTAGGTGACCTAAGGTGGAGGCACTGGAGTCGTTAAAAATTATTTTACATAGTGTCACAAATGACTCTTCATTTATTTCAGCCAAGATCTCAAATACAATAAAACCAAATTGTATCCAAAAGCATCCTAAATTATCCCTTACTGAGGAAGTCTGCAAGACCCCAAAGCGACTGGGTATGAGTATAGCTCTGTGTGCAGAAGCACATCACGCTCGGGGGGGGGGGGGACCTGGAAATGCACACACATCTACATGCAGAACAAAGAAGAATCCAACTCTAGGACCTTGAGCTGCATGAGGACATGGTCACCGCCTGGGCTGCAAAATCCAGAGACCAGTTCCAGAGATGAAACTGTTCAAAAATGCTCTGAGCTGCCGCCTAACAATAGGTTTGGAATGGTAGGAATATCCGGTAGTTGACTCTGATCTCTGAAGTCTAAAGGGTGTCGCTTGATTAAGCTGCCAGACTAAAAAGCACTATGGGAGGGAAGCCAGCGGTTGGTCAGAAACGTAAAGCATCCACACTCCATGTCCTTATGCATCACAGATGTGGCCGGCTGTGAGCAAACCGGGTTCATCTCTTTTTCAGCCCCTCATTGGCCAGTGCTCTGAGTCTTGATTTAAGGACTGATGAAATGGAGACCAAGCAGTGGCAAAGGTCTTTAGAATTCGTTTTATTCTAATGCCACTTTTACTATAATGTGGATACAAATAAGCTAATCCACCAATGGAAAGCCACAAAAAATGGTTAAGTATCTGTAACAGCTATTACAACTGCAAATTTTTTACATGACTTTATCCTTGAAATATATGTTATGTGCTTCAAAATAAGGCAGTAGCTTAAAGAATTGACTTACATACCTATACTATCTAAAAATACACTATGGAAAACAGAATCGTTAAGACTGATAAGCAATCGGTTCTGTCTATGGCTTACCCTGGCTACTCATAACCCTCAGTAGATGAACCAATGTATGTGACAAGCTCCAATAGGTCACTTCCCTGCTCATGTGAATCAAATTACACCCACTCTATTATGCCTTCTCCTGGGCACCACCCTGCAATTTACAGACAATTAGGAGTTGCCTACATGTTGAAAAAAGTTGCAACTCTTTGAGTGTTACAGAAAGATAGGAGCTGAAGACCAGTTCGAACCTTCCTCTAATATTTATGAATCATACAGAGATACGTAGGGCTATCATTTTTTGGTCACAGAACTTTATTTGGAAGCCAATTTCAGGAACGCCAGGATCAAGGCTCAAAAACCAAACACAAAATGAAGAGAGAACACCGACAGCTACACGTGCCTATGTACCGCTAATTCTAGCTGCCAAAGAGGGATCCCACCGAATGCAAAACGAGGGGTCTCTGACCCCAGGCAGGGCAGAGGACCTCGCTGGGCACTGCTGCCATTCTTGGAGGAACCCATCTGCAGCTTCCCCACTTAATGGGCCTCTCATCTTACCTTTCAAAACATCCCTTTTCCTACAGAAAAAGACTAGCAATAAATACTTAAGTATAGTGCAGTATCTAATATCCTTTCCTATCGTCCCAGAAAGTCTTAGTAAGTATAAAAGTGAACTACTTATTGGAGAAGTAATACCTGTCAGTGGGGACTCAGTAAGGACCTACTGGATGGTGAGTACCTTCAACTCCACCTACATGATCACTCCCCCATCTTGGAAACTTATGACATTGATTAAGCCCCAGCTGGTTACGAGTTTAGTGACTAATTCAAATAGGGCTATCGGGATAGCTAACTCACAAGGCTTATGACATAAGCACTCAGGCACCAACCTAAGTTCCTTAGTTACTTATACAAACTTTACCCCACAGCCTAGCTCTGAAAAAGTCGGAAAAGAGAATGAGAGAAAGAGAGAGTGAGAGATCAGCACCGATAACACACTGCATGCCACTCGTTTTTGCAGCTATTCCTATCTAGCCAGAGAATTCAGTCTAGCTAGAGGAAATCCAGCTAGGGAAAGGCTTTATCTTTCAGCTCTTTTTCACTTTTCCTTGATCCTCTACTTTCTTAATGGCTGCTTGGATAGCCTCTTGGTCACCCAGGAACTGGTGAGGCCCAACAGCACGCAGGTCCTCATCCAGTTCCAGGAGAATGGGGACGCCGGTCGGAAGAGTGATGTTGATGATGTCCTCATCTGAGATACCTGGAGATTAAGAGAGGAAGGAACAAGGCATTAAGGACGACCCAGGAGGAAGTTCACTGTTTAGTGGCTTAACTGCACACATACTTAAGTCCCAGATTAACGGCCGGTCTGGAACCGTGAGGATTCTGTGAGGGATTCTAACTAGAGTTCCTGGAAGCCAAGAAATTCCCAGAAGTTAAAAAACGAAAATAAAGCCCCAGACAGAAATTAACATCACAGCATATCTCGGGACAGTAAATACCCTCTAGGACTGCCTGTTCCTGGCTGTTTCCCATGTAAATCCTAAAAGAATGGAAATTAGTCTCTCTGTGCCCATGTTTGTTTTACTGATTTTGCACATGAATCAATCTTGAAAAATCTTAGAGTGAACTAGGAGGGTTTTCTGATTTTTTCCCTTTTATGAAATGCCCTCAGGCTGGCTAAAATTAACCTCTAAGCCCAGTTCAATAGATTACAATGTGGTTGCGTTTCCAATGCTGAGTGCGCTTGGAATGACCTGGGCAGGGGGACACTTCCTTGGCTACTTAGGACGCCCAATGAGGGGAAGTCAGGAAAGGACTGTGAGGGATGCCTTGTCAACGGGCCTCGCTCTCCTACTGTCCCCTGTCGTCCCAACTAACAGGAGAGGAAGGCTTGTTTGTGTAATGGACAAATTACCTTCAATTCTTTTTAAAACAAGCTCAATTGCAGCTAGTTCAACTGTGACCACAAGAGTTGGAGCAAGACTGTAAGAGTAGCAGTGACAGTATTTTTATTACCACGACCACGTGTAACAATAAACAGCTAAGATGTACTGGGCACATTCTACATGCCAGGTCCTCTTTTAAGCACTGTGTGTGTACTAACTCATTTCATCATTGTTACAGTCTATGAGGTTACAAGCTATTATTTGTCCATGTAACGTGTCTGGCACAGGGAGGTGCGGCGAACAGCTGCAGGTCACACCGACCGCCAGCAGCAGAGCCTGCATCAAACCAGGTGCAACTGCTGCACAAAGCAACCCCTGCAAGGGCTTCTGAGTCCAACATGGGCAAGGAGACGGGAGGAGGCAACAGACAGAGTGAAGCAAATTAAAAGGGACCTGAAACTATTCAAATTACCTACTTTAAAAACACACTTACGTTATACAGACTTCTACATCCCAATCAAATGCTTCTGTTCTGTATTAACAGAAAGGATCGAGGTGGAGCCAGTTTTAAGGAAGAGTCTGATGTCTGTCGTTACTTGGGAGGCGATGACGGCAGAAAAAGTTAGCAGCAGCTACTTCTCAATGAACTGGGCCATTTTAATTAACCAACAGTTACAACAACAGCACCAGCCAAAATCACAGAATTGTATCTCTGGACCCCAAGGGCTAGGGTAGTTCTTCATTAGAATTTCATTGCTCGGCCCAGGAGAGCTACCTGCGAACTCGCCTGCATGAACTGCACGTGTTCAAACAGCTCGGAAACAATGGGCAATGCACTGCGCATCTCCCCCTTCTGACGGTCCCCTCCGTCTGCTACCTCCGTAACTTTAGGCAAGTGACTTCTCTGGGCCTCCGTTCCCTCTGACAGATTAAAAAAGAAACACGGGCTCTTCCTTTACCAGCACAAAGGGTGTGGGGTAGGAGGCATGGACTTGAAAGAGAACACGAAAAAGTATAAAACAGTGAATGTGTCTTCTTCCCCTACTACGACTTCTCTTCTCGGCAGACGCTTTCCAGGGGCGGCGGCTAACACACTACTTCGCCCTGCCGAGCCCCCATCCCCACACTGCAACCCCACACAAGATTAGCATCCCAAACGGAAGCTGCCAAGAACGGAGCAGGTCAGACCAGACAGCCAGCTGTGTAGTGGGGAGGGTTCTGAGAGCCCTCCGGCTCCAAAAGCTCAGATCTGTCAGCTGGATGCATCGGAGCTGCTACCCACAGCCCTTGGAGGCGGCGGATGCAGAATTCACCAGCATGAGGTTTAGAGCCAGGTGACCACCGAGGCTTTCAACCCAGTAGTTCTCACCCCACTCCCCCCAAATCCACTCGGCAACCAGGAACTGAGGGCCTGTGACATGCATAGCACTCTGGGGAGGACACCTGTGACCTTGGCCAGGAGTTCACCTCCACTGGACTACTTCTTCATTCATGAAAGCGAGGAGGATGGTCTCTTCTAGCACCAAAGTTCCTCTATTTAATTTGCAATGGTCACGAAAAGCAAAGGCCCTTTAGAGGCATGAGAAACATGGGGACCGGGACTGGGCTTCCGCTCATCTGTCACACAAGGACCAGGTTCTATCTGTCCCCAGCGTCTGTAAGCATATTGCTCACTGAATTGGAGAGAAAGATGGATTTTATAGACTTCTTCAATTAATCTAATTTTTTTTCTGCAAAAAACAATTGCAGAGAAATTGCAGTTGGTTGTCTGCTTTGGTAGGAGACAACCATTTAGTGAAAATGACCACATTTGACTAGCGTTTTCCAGGAGAAATAGAAATTATGAGCATTTGCATCTATCAGCATCTCAGATTCACTGCTTATAGACTGTGGGCCTTTACAACCTCACTGACCATTAACCTGGGACTTTATTTTAAAATGACTAAGCCTCCACTTTTATTCGATGTTGTGCTAGAGGTTGTAGCCAGGGCAACTGGTCAAGAAAAAGAAATAAAAGGCCTCCAGATTGAAGCAAACCTCTCTCTTTTTAGATGACACTTCAACCAATAAATGAGTTCAGCAAGGTTCTAGGAGATAAGATTAATGTATAAAATGAACTGTATTTCTCTACAGTGATGAGCAAATAAAAAATGAATCTAAGAAACCAATTCTATTTATATTAGCAACAAAAAGAATAATATACTTAGGAATATATTTAACCAAAGAAGTAAAAAACTTACCCTCTGAACACTGCAAAATACTGTTTCCACAAGTTAACGTAAAGATGCAACACAATCCCTATCAAAATTTCAGGAGTTTTTTTTTGCAGAAATTGACAAACTGATCATAAAATTCACATGGAGAGTCAAGGTGCCTAGAATAGCCTTCCATAACACTCTTCAGCACACACCCGAGAGAAATGAAAACCCCGGGGCACACAAGAACTTACGCAGAAACCTTCATAGCAGCATTATTCACAGAGCCAAAAAGTGGAAACAGCTTAAATGTCCATCAACTGATGAATGAATAAGTTAAATGTGGTATATCCATGCAGTGGAATATTATTGGGCAATAAAAAGGAACGAAGTGCTGATACATGCTAAATACTGATGAACCTTGAAGATATTAAGCTAAGTGAAAGAAGCCAGTCACAAAAGACAACATATTGTACCATTCCACTTATGTGAAATGTCCAGAACAGGCAAACTTATAAATGGATGAGTGATTGCCCAGGGCCAGCAGGAATGAGGGGACTGGAAAGTGCCAGCTTGGTATAGAGTTTCTTTTGAGGGTAATGAAAATGTTCCAAAATCAACTGTGGTGATGGATGGACAACTGTGAAAATACTGAAAGCCAATGAACAATATACTTTATATGGGTGAATTATATGGTATATAAATTATATCTCAATAAGGCTGTTAAAAGTACTAAACAAATCCAGAGAAGTTAAATAAAACTGTTCAAGTCACAAAACTGTTAAGGTAGTATAACCGGACCTATTTGGTTTTAGTTTTTGTTTTTCTTAATTCCCAAATCCCACAAGTCCAACTCTGGCCATCTGAATCATCTATGGCTGTCTCCACCACAGCACAAGGAGAGAGAATATCTGTGTGAATGCACTGCCCTTGGGAAGGCTGGGTGCGAACTGATGTACAGAGCAAGAGCAGAGAGAGCTTTCTGCACATCTTGGACAATCCAACATGGAGTCAGTGTCAGCCATGACAGTTACGTCAAGTGCTAGGTCAAGACCGAGGCAGTGGGGTGTAACAGGAATGACCTTAGGAGGGGCCCAGAAGGCCCAAACTACAAGTCTGCACACTTTGATAAGGATTCCACCTGGACACCAATACGAGTGGGGCCTCCACCACTGGTGGGCTGTAGGAACTCAGAGCTCTGACCACCCCACACGCAAGTGTGGCTATGCTGCGGGTCCCCGCAGAGCCCGCCAGACTTCCACTCCACCGAACATGTGCCGCCACCGCCGCCACCTGGCTTGAGACCAACAACACCTCTCCACCTGCAGACGGTGGCACTGACCTGGAACTTGGTATGGGACGTCTGTTCTGCTGGCTTCTATCATGTAAGCTCCCCCTCTCTGTATACTGAAATGTGCATGACTCTTCTGGCTTATCTGGGAGGTCTCCCCTAACAAACCTGGCATCGTGGAAAGACGCAAATGTGTGTGAGGGACTCCTCTGGGGGATGCTCCCTTGCTCACAACGCTGGACAGCAGTGCTCTGTGTTCTCGTGTTTTCAAGATTAGTAAAGGGTGTGGACACGTTTGATCCCCTTGATAGAGTTAACTATCAAGGGGACCAAAGTGATGGGGTTCAGGGGCTGATGAAGTTCAGGGACTACAGTCTGCAACCTCAGAAAAGAGTTCGGATCTAACCACACCTAGCAGGTGCTCCCTTTAATAGCATGGCTCTCAAGCTCAGGCCTGTGGCTTAGATGTGTGGGATCGAATCAAAGAGCCAACTCTACAAAGGCCGTGAGAACTATAATTTTCGACCTACAAAGGAAGGAGAGCTCAACAAAAATAGAGAACATTTCCAATTAAAAAAAAGGAACATTCCACTTTAATGACTACTCAAGCCATTCACACAGCAGACTAATTACTTGCAAATATTTAAAATGCTTAGACTGGTTAATAATCAGTCAATGAGACTTAAATTTTAAATAGCAAATTAGGAAAAACCACCACAAAGCTATTACTCATTGCTCAGTTTTGGCAAAAGGCACATTCTTTGTCCTAAGAAAGTTAAGCAAGCAGAACTCCTAAGGCTAGAATAATGTGTCTGCACTGGATGGAACCAAACTGAACTAATACTCTATTATGCAACATCGTGTTACAAACTCATTAACTGGAACA